AATTTATAAAAGAAATTCTACTGAACAGTGCTTGATTATGCTGTACAGTTACGATAATATAATGAAATTTCCTTTCAGACATAACTGTCTGACCAGTTTTTTTCCATGATCCATTTTGTTCTTACTTGCAAGATGGGCTTTTTCATTTATTTTTCTGTTAAAAAATAAAAATAAAATAACAAACACTGCCCTGTAAATATTTGGTAATCTTTTTCCATGCTAAAACTGTTAACTAAAACACCAACCTAATAAGTAGAATTGCCATAATTTAGAATGCTGTAAACACAGATCATACTGTAATCAAAAAGAGGTGCCCAAGTAGGTGTTTACCAACCTGATCCATATGGCAGGGAGAAATCTGTAAGAAGATACAGTTTATCAAATCAACTTCCCTAAATCCTAGCTAGCAAATTCAGCATCCCTCATAAACACTGAATTACCCTTACAGATGTTTGCCTATGAAATTATCAACTACAGAAGGTGCTTTGGTAGGAGAGACAATCTGTTCAGCATCAAATCTAAAAGAAATGCTCTATCTGCATTTTTGATTCCAGAAAGGATTTAATAGTTTGTTGATTTTTTAAAGTAAATTCTTGCTATGAACAAATAAATCATACTACTGCAGAACAAATAATCATTGAGCATCCATCCTTAGCTAGTAGCATTTAGAGCATGCTGCTCTCCTTGGCTTAACTCTTCCAGAAATGATTAGTCTAGGATCCATAAAACCCCATAGAGCTCAGAAAAGAAGCTGCTGCTGGTTCCCATATTATTACAGATGAGCAGCCTAAGAATCCCTCACATGATCGATGAATTGTAACTGCAAAATGCCATCACTGTGGCCAGAGTTGTTATTATTTTTCGTTTCCGTTTGCACGTGAGGGTAGCTTGACTCTAAAGAGTAAATAGCATGCTTATGGAAGCAAGTGTACAAGCTGGGATGCATTGCACAGATTGCTGCCTTTAAGCTTCTGATTTGTAAAATTCATAATAAGCAGTAATATGCTTGAAAATGAGCAAATACATCTGAATTTGTGTAGCTCATTTTGTGGGAGAAGGTCAGTTTGGTGGAATGTTGTTGCAGGCTGAAGAATTTTAGTTTGTTCAAAAGCCTACTTAAATTATTCTGGCATAACTGAAATATACAAATTGAGGAAAGGACAGAAGCTGAAATGAATTAGTGGTTGAATCCACTATAATGTTAATCATAAAGCAGACTGCAGCCTGTTAAACAAGAATGGATTCAGATAAGCCAACAGGACTAGAAGAATGGATAGCATGACTCCTCAGAGACTTGGAGAACTGTGACCTGAGGCAAATTAATTCACCTCTCTGACTTTCACTCTTTACCATTCTGTAAAGCATGACTAATAATACAATCTTTGAGGGTTGTTGTAAAGGCTCAAAGATATAATGTGCTTACGAACTGTGCCTGGCATGCAACAGACAACACATTACTATTATTAGTACTTTTATTATTAGAAGCAAATTTGCTATTGCTTTATTATTATTTGAAATGAAATTTAAAAATATTAAAGAATGACAAAAAGGAAGACTTAATTTGTAATATCTGTTCAAATTATGTCGGTTTGCTGGTATTCTTAAAGTTGCTAGAAATGTCAGCTACTGTCTGAAGCAATTTTGTTTAATATCCAGAGATTCTCACTCTAGATTTGTGACAGGGTGAGTGAGAGTTGGGTAGAGTGCAAAGATCACTAGATTTAGAAAACAAAGGTCAGATACCATTTTACTTCTGCCGCATACTAGCCCCACCCTGGATTACAGATTATATAACCTCTCTGGACCTTGATTTCATGAAATAATAAGAAACTACCTTACTCCTTATGGCCAAAATAAGACAATGAGGTAAAAATGCTTCTAAAAGCCGTCACCTGCTATAGGAAAATAAGGTTGCCATATCAGGTCAAGTTAGCCTGTTGTAATCTGATTGCATCTGCAAGGGCATGAGGGCAAGAAAAAAATTGCTGGAAGAACAGACAAAGTGGGCTCCAGCATGTTATAGCACTTTGCCCAGGGGAGCAAAGAAAAAAAAGTAGACCCGTTGGTCTGAAGGGGAGCTGAGACCATTGTCAGACAAATGGTGAGAGGGGCTTTCAATATAAACCAACTGACTTGAATTTGGACAGCATTTTGAGAAAGCGGGCCATAACAAAACACATGAGGCAAAAGCATTTCCATTGCCTGGAGGACTGAGGGGCTGAGAGTGGGAAAAGCTGGCTGTGTTGCATTTGGTTAATAAAAGAAGTCTGTCCCCGAGTGAGATGAAGTGGGTTTGCATGTGTCTGCTTGCCAGGCTGTGGAGGGAAAAAAAGGGGATCAGGGAGGTGGGAAAGTTGGGAGAGCAAACGGACTCAGATTTTCATGCTGCAGATGCAAACAATGTGTATAATTTAAATATTCCTTCACTGGAGGTGGGCAGTGAGATGGAGGGAGTAATAATTAACCCATGCTTCTAGATGAAGACACCAAAAAGCAACACAGCTAGGAAATAAGGGAATCTCATGAGCAACTGGAAGCCAGCTCCTCCACTCTGGGGCTAGCGGTCCTTCTTTTGCATAGCTCCCCTCAGTGAGGAGAGATGACCTTGCTTGACCTCTGCTTAGTTTGAGAAGCACTGAGTGGGGCCAGGAGAGGCAGAGAGAAATAGAAAATATACTTTTCCCTAAGAAATAGGCTGGTGGGGAATGAGGGGACCAACTTAGTAAGGAAACCTCCACAGGCTTCTAAGTCCCTCAAAGCAAAAGGAACATGAATGTGTGATTAAAACAAAAGGCCAAACAAGCATTGTGACATGCAATATGGTCTATAAAAATTTAAGAATTCGTCATAAAATTGGGGATGCAAATTTCAGAAAGGTTGTTTTTATTTGAAGCACAGAGAATGAAACATTCATTCTTTAATACAGGAAAGCCCACTCATTAATCGTGTTGTTGAAAAAAAAGAGAATTCTATACAATCTACAGCCCTTTAAGAAAAGAGACATTTCTCTAGATTGTCTTTTAAGAATAACAGGACTTTGGTTATTTTCTCAAAGCATGTTATCTTTTCTGAGCTTGTTAAGGCAACCTGCTTTATTTTTTTTTTTTCCAGTGTAAGTGAAATTCTCATTGTTTCTCTAAGTGGCTCCTTCAGGAGACTGGTGACACCAGCCTCTGCCAGGTAGGTGTTCACCCTACTTCCTGAATTTAGTCACATAACCACCTAGGCTTTCAATTGCGACAAATTAGGTGGAGATTTTGAGATATGCCTGGCATTCCTTTGGGAATTAAGAAAAAGACCGCTGACTTTATTTATGCTTGTGACTTGGGGAAGAAAGGAATAACAAGGTTACTATCTAGAGCAGAGTAAGACATTTCCTTCAATGTTGTTACCTTCTGTTAAGGAAGGCTGTTGACAAATGAGCAAGGATTGAATGTATTTTCCCAATGGGAAAGGAGCAAGCAGCTGCGTTTCCCGGGTGGGTTCCTTCTGTGGCTCTCATAACAGCTGCCTTGTCTCCACCCAAGATATCGGACCCCTCAGACAGATGACTGAAGGATTGCTTGGTTCCTGCCTTACAAAGGTAGTCAGCATAGCCCTAATACAGCAGTCCCCACCCTTTTTAGCACCATGCACTGGTTTCATGGAAGACAATTTTTCACGGGTGAGGGGGTAGGGAGTGGGAGTAGGGGTGGGCAGATAGTTTCGGATGAAACTGTTCCACCTGAGATCAGCAAGCATTACATTCTCATAAAGAACACACGGTACCAGTCCATTGCCTGGGGATTGGGAACACTTGCCTTAATCCATATAGTCTCATCTCTGATCACAGTGATATGACTGACTCATTTCTTTAATAGTCAAGAACAATGTTCTTGGGCTGAAACCGGTGCGCAAATATTCACAACAGGCACACTCCGGTGGCAAGCCAATTCAATGGTAAACAGCTTTTGGCTCTTAACTATTCCTTTGGCTGCATTTTCTCAGGGCTTGCTTCAAACACTGGGCTGCTGAGAAGGCACTTACTGGGAGAGTGGGATCAGGAGGGAGTTGGAGTGACTTTGGTAAGTGAGGAAAGGTAGTGCAGGATTTTCACTGGCACACAGATTATTTTCTTTACCAGATAGAAAGCCTTCATGGTTTTCACATGACTACACTGGTCATCATTTATCAGAATAGCAAGCATTTATATACCACTTGGCAGCCTATAAGGGAGTTAGGGCAGGTATTATTGTCCTCTTTTACAGACAAGGAAAGGAGATTCAGAGACATAAAGTCATCTGTCCAAAGTCACAGAAGTGACAAATGGTAGAGCTGGGACAGGAGCTCATTACCATGACTCCTATTCTTGAGATTCCACATTGCCTTACGATGCCAATGGCCAGAGATAGTAGACAGATACGGTTTTCTGGCTTAACTTTTGTTTTTTCTTTTGGTTTAATTGTTTACTTAAGGGGAGATTATAGCCACTCTTTTCAACTTTGTTCTGCCCCCACGGCATTCACATACATAGATTCACTTCCATAAGTAACATTTCCTAAACATGCCATCATTTTCAAGTCTGTCATCTTCTCCTCCCCTCCCACTCCCGCATCTCTTCCCATCATTATAGGCCACAATCAATCTTGATAACCCTGTTCCATGTAATGCATGGCAGCAGTGAGATTGAGTTGAGATCCCAGAAAGGTAAAAGGCAAAAATTTAGGGTATGGTGCTTGAACAGGGAAAGTTTCCTAAAGGAGGTGGTGAGTCTCTGTCCAAGAAGGATGTAGGAATGTATAGGGCAGAAGCTTAGTGATATTAGAAGACTAGCTTGATTACAAAATGGAAAGAAGGCAGGTAAGAAATGAGACCACTAAATAAGGAGAATGGTCTTGAAGTGGAATGCCAGGATTCCCCATCATGAAACTCCTTGAAACAGAACAGTAATTACTTTAAACAGCTTAAGCAGATAGATTGCTTCATTATTAAAAGGTACAAAAATAAAGGTTTAAACTCACCCGCAAGATTTCTTCAACACAGCTTGGATCACTGGGAAGGCTTACCTGAAACAAAATAAACAGAAAACATTAGGCACAATCTATTTATTTTTCTTGTATAAATAGTTTACTCTGTAGGACAAATTGTAAAGCAAGAAAATCTAGCTATCAATTTTTTCCTATTAAATAGAAAAAAGTAACTGAAAATGACTAATTTTGTTTTACTTTACTGAAGCGGTACGATCACAGTGTATGGCACAGACAGAAAGTGACTCCTTGTTCTGTCACTGATTTGCTTTGAGACACTGACCCATCCCTTCTCCCCTGGGGCTTCTCTTCGCTCACCTATCCAAAGAGAGCTTGATCTCATGATCTTTAAGGCCTCTTTGACCTTCTGGCATAGTTTTGTAGGTTATTTATTAAAAATATGAGGCCCATATAAAACACTTTTGTGATTAAATTGAGTTCTTTTTCAACTTGGGAGTCCAACTAGATGCCTACAAAACAGTAAGGATAACGGCCTGTGTAAATTGCATGCTTGTCTTGGCAGTCAGAGAAAGTCTCAAAATTATTTTCAGTAAATATCATGATCATTTTTCCTAGCGTGACACCTTGCTAATGAATCAAGATTCAAGCCACTAGCAGAAATGTACTGAGGATTTACTCCATGTCAAGCCCATAGCCCTTTTGTGCAGGTGCTTCATAATCAGCGAAAGAAAGAAGTGAAATAACAAAATAAGATACCAGCTACAAGACAGTGCATGATCAGAAACTTGAGAGTCAGACAACTATCTAGAAAAATGTCTGCTGATCACCACGTCATCTGTGCAGGTCTTAGGCATCCCCCAAACATTCCTAACTCCCCTTCACCCTCTCCAGGATTGCAATCTGATCATATCTGCTTCCTGCCTGTTCTGGCAAGAACAGAGGGTCACTCATTCACTGCCTTGATAGATGAAAGCCCAGTCCTGTTAAGAGAGCACTGCTATAACATCTACATGGCCCAGGTTTTTTGCAAGGAGAATTATTTATTCCCCAACAGACTTCAGTACGGACTCAACTATACTTGGAATAATGAAGAATAGACTATAGCACTAGATTTCCTCACCTGTAAAAACTACAAGTTAAACAAGACAGCAAATCTTCAAACAGCATTATAGTCACTTCTGTACATGCATTAATTACAACCAGTATTTACTGAAGACCTTCTACATGTAAAAGTCCCTGCTCCAAGAGGCCTAAGGTCCCAAATAGGAGAGACAGCCTGAAACTGTCACCGATAACGAAGGGCTATCAATTCTAGATGATCCAGTACAGCATCAGGTTACACTTGTTATCTGTGTACTTATTGATAGTATTCCCTTTCCCTCTCAAAAATATCCCAGTTTGGATGACAAATTTATACAGTCATTATTCCAGCAACAATAATATTCTAATACCGAGTAGAAGACACAGTAGAAGAAAAGACTTAAATTGGCCAGGCATACCTTGTAAAGAATCTTAAACACAGGTTTCAGATAGAGAACCACTGGCAATCTGGTGTAGCACAGTTCATTCATTCATTCAACAAATAATTTTTGAGAGCCAAGGACTGTGACACTCGGTGCTAGGCAGAGTAGAATGGGAAGCCAAAGGAGACACAGTTTCCTCACTCATGGAGTTTACAGGCTCAACAGGAAAGTGAATATGAGGAAACACACAGTTAATGCACAACTATAAGCTGTGAGGAAGTACTACAAAGGTGAGCATCCCATGGACACTAGTTGTGCAAAATAAATGGTTTTGTGTCCAAAGAAGTGTGAGAAATGCTGCAACCCATATTGTATCCCCTTTTGGAGACCCATGATGAAAACAAAAAGCTATGAGACACCTGTCTAAGTTTTTTAATAAAGTACCTTCCCAACTTCCTTGAAGTTTTGGGATTTTAGTTTTAAGTTTTTTTTTTTGTTGTAGTTATTTTATTTTTCAATTAATAACTACTGCTATTACACAAAATGAATGTTTACAGAACATACAATTGAAGATGCTGGTCTAACATGTTTATATGATTATACGACTAAACGGGTAATTCTTAACTGCAAATACAATCTCATTCCATTGTTCAGTGCTCCAGAAACTGTATTTTCCAAGAGAATTCTTGAACTTCTAACAAATACATTCCCCAAATACAAAGGTCAAAGGATTATAAGAAAGGCTTAAATCTTCAATATCATTGTTGCATTGTATTAGAGTGGGCAGCCTACGCTAAAAAATGTATGGCCCGGTCTCATGAAAAGGTCTTTGTTCCCTTTTTCCCACAACACATCAGTATTAATTTTTAAATTAAAGCAAAAATATATCTGTGATATGCAGACACAGCAAGAGCAGCTGCTGATGGGTGAAAAGAATTTGGAGGGAGTCTTGGCCCTACCACCTGGGAACAGGACTTAATAACCGTATCCCTCCGAGTTCCAGTTTTTCTAAATGTAAAGAAAAGCAAGGAATAGTAATACCCATCTTTTTTAAATCTCACAGGGTTTCTGTGAGCATCTAGTGAAATAAGTGATGTGAATGTGCTTTGTAACCCGCAAAGCCCCATACAATGAATTAGATTATTACCGCTCGTCCTGTTGTTCTCCCTACTTTTCTTAAGTCCTGTCTTCTCATCTTTTCAAACTAAGATTTGACTCACTCTTGCCAACTGCAAATATCATCTCTACACTTCACAATGTAAATATCCACTTCTTTATGGGACAAAATACTTCAAAAAAGAAAGTGTTGTGGACCCTGGAGCTTTGCAGCAAATCTAATAATGACGGACTATTGGAGTCGGCAGCACTCAGGACAGAGAACTCTAAAGACAAGAGCAGTGAAACAAATATGCATCCACACTCAGTGTTTAGATATTTTTTCTTTAGAAAACACTAAAATCCAACATTTTCATGAAGTCAGTAGTTCCACAAATTCATCTAGCCCAGGCCCGCAGCTGTTTTCTCCGTAAGACAACTACATTTGAGCCGCAAGTGCTTTTCCTTCCTGCAAATGCTTTTTAATTAACCAGCAAATATTTCCTACGTGCCTAGCACAGTGCAAAGCATGGAGAGTTGGTAATACAAATCACTCTGAGTCTCCGCTTCTTTCTCTCAGAGTTAAATGTCTAGATGGGATAGGAAAACAAACAATTAGAAACCCACTGGGACATACATTGTAAGGTAGTCATGACAAGGGTAATAGGATCGCATTCATTCGCCTGTCCGCCTATTCATCAGCTCTCCCATTTATTTCTTTAGACAACAAATCCTGATTGAGCTCACACTGTGCTCAGGATGGTGCCAAGAGGGAGGATTTAAAGACACTGAAGACAACATCATGTCTGCCTTCAAGACTCCACGCATATTGAGGAGACAGCATTTACAGGGAAACAGACAAGACCAAACAGGAGGTCTGATTTAAGTGCCAGGGAAATGGTACCTACCGGGTTCACCGACAGCGCCATGTCAGACAGAAGCTCCCAGCCGTTGAGGTCCCCACCGTAGTCCTCGCTCCACATGGGAGTGAGAGGCCAAGGATTCGACATGACTGAGAAGTAGTGGGGCCACCTGAGGCCACTTCAGTCACTGAGCCCCCTGCGGAGATGCACCAGGGTCACTCTGCACACTGGAAGAAAGCTGAGCTAAGGCTGGGGCTCGGCCCCAAATTCTATTCTCTTGTACTCTCTTTCTCTTTCTCTCCCACAAACACCCACACGTCTTTGCAGTAATTCTGGAGGAGTTACTCGGACAGGTGTGAAAGACAGAGACCGAGGAAGAGAACTAGTGGTGGCACTGGGATTAGAACTGCTGCCCGTTGAGTTGCCAAGCTGCTGCTTAATTCCGGAGGCACCTTCTCCTCTCTTTAAATCCACTCTTGAGTATTCAGATAGTCCACAAAGCGCAAGTTAGCCACTCAGAGCTGCAGCGTCCTTTCTCATTCCCCCTCTCCGCCCCCTCCTCCTGGAGCAGAAAGCAAGCTGCACGACACACAGGGGAGGCTGTGCTCTCACTCCTGGCCCCAGACAACCCTCTTGTGCTGGGCACGAATGTGGTCCTCTGAGGGCCAGGAAAGGGAGGTGCACATCGGGCAGGTGGTGGGTTTACTGAGAACCCTCACAAGTGCCTACCCTCTCTGCATCTGACAGTGCAGGCTGCCACCCCATGTAGCCACAGGGAGACCACGAATGGATTATCTGCCTGGTGATGAACACATATCTTATGAAATAATCAGGGTACCTTTAAATCATCAAATATTCAATTAACCACAGCAACAATAAATGAATTGCATAGGATGTTTTAATCATTCTGGAATTAATCAGTTTGGAGCATTACTTCTTAGCGATTAGGCTAATGCAAGATATCAAAAACACCTTGATTGTGGCATTGAGAGACGTAAGAAGCAGCCATCACTAATAGAAAACATGGAGATTAATGTAAAACATTAATAGAATAATGATCATCACATGGTTAATCCAGAGGAGCTTAATGAATGCCTCTGAGTATGTTATTACTAAGGCATTGTGAGGGAAGAGAGGTCATTTTTTTTCCCATAAAATCATCCTGAGGGTGGTCCTACAATACCTGGCAATCAAAATCCACTAGTCTAGGTATATTCCACCTTGACAAATGCTTTCTCAAAGTGAAACTTAAAAACAGAAATTTAATTGCAAATTAAATAACTGGGTCCAATATCCAATATCCACAACAGATACTGATGGCAGCTTCCAAACTAATTCCGTTTGTACTTTCATTAACAAACTTCCCCATTTATTCCCGTGATTGATTTATGGTACACAGACATCCCCTAACACAGAATTACTAATAAAATAAAGACCTAGGTTATGATATTGTACTATCAGATGAGTTTTCAATCTTTTATAAAATTTGTAATTCCCATCATTGGTAATTTGTAAAAACAGAGGACAGCAGCCTCTGAAGTTCTTATTTGCATGCATTATGAAATCCCTTATGTCTCTATCCTGGGAGTCCCAGTTTTCCAAAATGAATTTGGAAAACTACAAACTCAGTTCACATTAGGATCTGTCTGTCTCTTGC